GCATCCAAAACAAACTACAGGAAATAAAAAACCTTTCAAGCAATATAATTCCTAAACAAGCTCATCACCAAAATATTCCGGAATTGGGAATACTTAAAATTGAAGGCGGAAATTATCAAATTGAGATAAACAAAACAAAATAATCAAACGAATTAATCTGTAAAATCCATCACAAACTCCACGGGCCATCAATCACAAGAAACACCGTAAAATTCAAGCCAAAATCTTAAGCGAATCAAAATGATACAAGTGCAGAAAATCATCTTCCCTTGGACGGCATGAAAACAGAAAATAGATAGAGAGAAAAAAAAAAATGAAAAAGCTTACCACTTTATCTGGCAATGTGGTAGAGAAGCTGAAGCAAGAAAAAATGGCAGCTTTATCTATTATCCTTTTCCCATTTATATTGGAAAATCAATATATTTACGAAAAGAACTTAAATAAAGGAAGGGCCGCCACTAATTCTTCTTCTTTATCGGTCAACTTTCCCAAGTCAACTTTCGCACGTGTAACAAGTACAATTTATTATTATTAGTATTATCGAATTCATAGTTGGAAACTATACAATGTCGGGATGTTGGGAGTTCATGTAAGAGACTTATTTACACTTGTTACAATAAATAAATAATAAAAAAAAAACACGAAAATTGTCACGCTTTGAGTATGTCGATTACAACGGTAGACCTATGAACTGAAATTGATATTTTAATTTTTACAATTTAAACTATAGATAGAAGGATTACAACTTTTGAACGGAAAGACTAAGGGCTCGCTTGTTTACAAAATAATTCGTCTAAAATGAGTTATTTTGGTTAATCATAGTTAATTTTAAAAAATGTGGTATGATTAGTTGTTAGTGGGATTTTAAGAATGTATTAAAATAATATTTAAAATAAAATGATTAAAATTGATTTGATGTAAAAGTATGAGATAAATGATTGAAATTGATAGGTAATTAAAATTATGTGATTGGATGAATGGTGAATTAAAGTTGATGTGATGTAAGAATGATTGGTTTGTATTATTTAATTATATGAATAATATTAAAAATAGTAGAGTTGAGTTAGATTTTGAGTATGAATTAAATGTGAGTAAAATAATTGATAAACAAGAATACCCTAAGTCGAGCGAGTGAACTCTTTCTGCAAGACAAAATATGCCTCGTTTATTGCTAACGGGTATGTGCGTCTTGTCTCCAAAGATACAACAACTGACGTCTCGAAGGTTGTAGCACACCAACTTTCGAGCTCCGTCGAACTTGAACAGAGTCGATGATAGAACAGTATATATATGCGTGAGGTTATGAGAGAGTGCAATGATGCATATAAGATTATGTGTACTTCTTTTAACTCTATACAAGTCCTATTTATAGAGTTTCAAGCATAGATATGGGATGTAACCAGTCACCTACCACTTAATAGAGATAACAACCCACTTAAGGCTAGCTACTTCAATAGGCAAAGAAACGGTCTGCATGTTTTTAGGTGTTAACACACTACTACTCCGCCTGAAACATTCAAGTGGAGTCAAACGTTCAGGTTCAATGTACCTGGAGAGGTAACACTCAGGTTGGGTAAGAAACTCAAGTCCAAATCCAACTTGATTCGCATTTCAATTTGGGCTGCAAATTTTTAAGTGAAATTGCAATAAAAAGTTATATAGTGGATGGGTCAAAGGCCCATGCCCAATATGGCCCAGACCGTCCAAGGCCACTCAAGTCCAACCCAAAGACTAAAGACCAAGGCCCAAGTCTCAGGCCCCGTGCCCGTGTCGTGTCAATTCGGCCGATGGGCGCGCGTGTGTGGCCGAAACCAACACCAACATTTGATGCATAACTTTGTTGTTGTTGTGACGACATCTACAACTCTCTTTATTGTGATAAAAGGAGTTCTCATTTAATGGGAAAAGACTCTTACAAATTCTAAGAGCACCCACAATGCTTTGGGCCTTTTTTTGCATATGTGGCAAATAAATAGACTTAAGTCTATAATGACATAGACAAACCCAAGTTAAAAAATCCAAAATCTATCCAATGCAAAAAAAAAAAAAAAAAAAAAAGTACTATGTCTAGAATACCTAACAACCAATAAAAATATAATAATAGTAAATGATTGCTATTGTAAGGTTCACACTTGGGTCCAAAATAGACCCAAGAGTGGACTTTGTCTCTTATTTTTATTGCCATATAAGCTAGACTAGGTCCACTTTTAATTGCATTGTGAAACACTTTTTCATAGACTAGGTCTATTTGCTACATGACATGTGTTTTTTTTAAAGAGACCCAAAGCATTGTGGGTGATCACAATCATCGTTTTACGTGTCCATTTATGACTAACTTTAATTATTTATTTCTTACTCACCAAAAATTGATTTCTCCTTTTAAAATTAGAAAATTACAAAGCTCAATAAATATATGCTCCAAAAACTTTTTTTAACCTCTTTTTCATATTCCTCATTTATTATATTTCAAAATAACACTTTGCTATTTTAAATCATATTTATTATATAACTATATTCATTATTTTTATATTTATATATTTATTATATTAATCAATTATTTTATATGCAAATTCTCCTTGAACCGGATTAAATCGGAGCATCAGGAACGACCACTAATCTCGAGCTTCAGTGACCTACAATACACCGGGGAGGGGTCCCGGCGGAAAACCTCCGACGCCCAAATAAGTATGTGCTCGAGAGAATAAACGGTAAAACTTTGAGCAATGTATGCGTGAATGTTTGATAAATTTTACATAGAACATGGTCACCCCTTTTATAGGAGTATATGTCTTAATGTCCAAAAGAGTCATGATTCGGAAAAAGGTCTAATGGATCTGCTTTCTTAGCTTACTACGCTCTAGGATCCGAGATTTGTTAACAAGACACACTTTACAATTTCCATCCTACCAGGATTTTTGTCCCCCTACTGTACGACACTCAGATCCGTAAGTCGTAACTACGACCTCTTAACATACTTGCCGCCAATCATAACTAGGTCATTATCCCGACCTCTTTCCTCAGGACCCCCAAGTCATGAGGTCGCCACCTTGTACACTCGAGCTCCTAGAGATTCCGACCTTCTAGTCTTCTAAACAGGTTGATCAGTACACTGTGTTGCGTTAATAACCTCACTGACTAAGTTAAACACCGACACCGAACTTGAGCTTCCTTGAATCGGCTTAACCCGAGCTAACTACTCTAGTTGGTCCATCGAGTTACTTTGGATGCTATCATTTTTTTTAAAAAAAAGCTAAGTAAACAAAAATACACCTTTATCATAAAATATAAATCAATTGAGATTACTAAAAGCAAGTATGATTTTAATAGCAAATCAAATATAAATATAATGATACCAAATATATTAAAGTACATGTGTATAAAGTAAAATAATAAATAAATTAAAGACAATTAAAAAGGAAGAAAAATGGCACTATCTATGCTTAATAACCCAAACCTGCGACCATCACATGCATATTTGTATATTTTTTTAATATTGTGGTCCCATAAAGGCACCAACACCAACAAGCCAAATTTTAATTGTGCACACACCTTGCAATTTAACAACATTAATGGTAATCCAACTTGGGGAATTGAGGTTTTACGAAACTCTTCAAACACTACATTATTTACTCTAACTAGTGTTTTTACCCGTGCGATGCACGGGACATATTTATTAGAATATTTTAAATAAATATATTAATATATATATAATAAAAAGTAAATAAAAAATAAATAACAATATTATTGAGTCGATAGTAAAAATGCAATATTGTATAGTATTACAAATTGTGGAAAACTTCTCGATAGACAACATTTTTAGTAGTTTTCCTTTCCCCATTATCGTCGCCACATATTAATATCTTCAATCCCTGTGGATTAGTGACTCGCGAAACAGCAACGTATAATTGGCCATGACTAAACACGGGTCTTTTCAAGTAAAGTCCGACATGGGATAACGACTGCCCTTGACTCTTGTTGATTGTCATTGCGTAAGAAACCATAAGAGGAAATTGTCTACGCTGGAACTTGAAGGGTATCCTGAGATCAGATGGAGTTAGGGAAAGTCTTGGTACCAATACCTTATGTCCAGCATTTGATCCTGTTAGAATCTTACATTCAAGCACGTGAGTGGCAAGCTTCGTTATCACCAAGCGTGTTCCATACACAGACCGATCGAATGGTCAATGTTTCTCAACAGCATGACAGGAGTCCCAACCTTTAAGTGCAATTCATGATTTGGAACACCAGAACATTTTATACTATTTAAGAACTCCGGCGTGTGCAGGTCATGCAAGAAATCAACACCACCATCGGATTTGCATGTACTGTCAGAACTTAGATAAGTATGACCCTCCGATTGATTCAAAGATGACATATACTCATTGATGGAATCAACAACATCTAATGTTGGAGCTAATATAGCTCTATCTTTCAAATAGCTGGGATCATCAATGCAATCTTTAACCATTGGATAAGTGCTTTCCACGATGGTTGCGATGGGGTCATCAGAATTCCGCAGCAAAAATTCACCAGGTATGTCAATATCCGCACAACCGTCTTCGCTTCCTCCTATTGTTCCATCTCCAATTCCTGCAATCCACTCGGCAAACTCAACCAATTTATGGTACTCTTCATTCCCACCATGACTCTGAAGTCTCATGTTTTTAGTCAATCTCAAAACTCGACAATCTTTCCAAATTTTGGATGCATTAATCGTTGCATTAACAATGTCTTGTCGACTTCCTTTGGGGACAACAGGTAATATTTGCCGAAAATCTCCACCAAAAACAACTGTTTTTCCTCCAAACACTTTATGCTTATTTGATGGATCAATAACAGACATTATTGACCTAAACGTGGTATCGAGAGCTTCAAAACAATACTTATTCATCATAGGAGCTTCATCCCAAATTATAAGGGATGCACGAATAATAAGCTCTGCAAGTGGACTCGATTGATTTATATTGCAACTTGAGTCCTCATTTGGTTGAAATGGAATGCGAAATCTAGAATGTGCAGTTCTTCCCCCAGGTAATAAAAGAGATGCTATTCCACTTGATGCCACATTAAGCACAATTTTTCCTTTGGATCGAAGACATGAAGATAAAGCTCTCCACAAGAATGTCTTTCCAGTACCACCGTAACCATAAACAAAAAATAGACCACCTTCATTACAACGCACAGATTTCATTATGGTTTCATATACGGCACGTTGTTCAACACTCATTGTGGACAGTAGCTTATCATGTTCAACTGCCATAGCTTTTCGATCAAAGTTGAGTTCATCAAGCAACATCCTATTACGACTATTCTCATGATCATCAATAGTCGGGTAAGGCATAGAATCAAAATCTCGTAGACTCCTCCCACGTCTTCGCAATGACTTCTCAACTTCGCATAGAGCCAAATTTTTTATTTCGTCCTTGCCAATATTCAATTCTGCAATGTAATTATTTTAATAAGTCAATATAGTCATATCAAAGATATTATGCAATGACATTATTTAAACAATAATTTTTTTATTCTTCGTAAATGAATTGATAACTTTATACCTGGAGAATTCAACACTTTTCGTCGATTATATAAAATATCATCAGATAGTAGCTCCCAACACGTTTCCCATACATGTTCTGGTCGAGCCATAGAATCCGAAGATAGTAAAGACGAAAACATACAACGTAATGACTCAGCAGACGCCCAATGGCTTGCTTCGGTTATCCCATCAATATACTCCTTATCATCTTCCAATACGCCCAAAGCATAACATGCTTCACGATATGAATCATACTGAACATTGTCAATCTTTCTATAATCAGCAAAGCACGTTGCACCCCGAACAAAGTTTAGAAGAATACGGAGGTAATAAGCATCGCCACATCCCGGAGGCACATAGGGAAGTCTACCAATCTTCTTTCTTTGTTTTCTTGGGTACCATTTCTTATCATATGTATCCCAAACAAAATGTTGAGGAGCCTCGACATAAGTGAGTTTTCTAGCTTTTGGGTATATCTTATTTGCTTCCATCCACTCCAGAAACATGCTGGTTTTGTCAGCATTATTGTCCACGACATCATCTATTCTTTCATAATCATTGAATAAAATGTGATGCTCATTCTCAAGATGAAAGCTTAGACGTTCAACAGGAGGGTACTTATACTGAATCTCATATCCCAACAGTCTCCATGCTGCCTCGCAAGATGAAACATAGCGACAGTCGTAATACATATTGATCTCATCCACGGCTGCCTTCTCATCATCGGCCTTGCTTTGGTAAAAAGAAGCAGTCACACGATCATTACCCTTATGTACATATTTAAATAAATATTTTATCGATCTCGACTGGTTGCACCATTCAACATTTAAATGGGCTCCGTATTTCAATAACAGGTGACGATTATGAGGCACAACATATCGATTATCTAAGGGCACACCATTTTTCTCGACTGTTCTCCCATTATCTCTTCTTCTATAACGTGGGTACCCTTCTTCATCAATGCAAGTACTTTCACCAAATTTTTTGGGGAAGTTTTTCGTGCAACGATCATCCACCATACAAGGAGATTTTTTATTCGCAACACCACACGGGCCGTGAATCATATGATCACGCACAGCAGCAAAGTAAAGTGGGTCTGAGTCTTCATCTGGAATTTCAGCCGATATAATTCTATCAATATCCTCTGGGGTCGGATACTTATCATTCTTTGATAGAAACAACAAAATATGAGCATGCGGTAATCCTCGTTTTTGAAACTCGACCGTGTAGACAACTGCAATAAAATTACATTGAACAAATGGAACTTATGATTTATAAATACAAAATTTAGAAATATAAATGCATATTTTAAAAATTAACAGATGATGAAATGCATCTATATGTACCTGCCACCACTTCACCAAATATCTCATTGTTTCGAATATCTGAAATCAATCCATCCAATTTTGCCTTAAAAACTCTACAAACAATGTCGGGTCTATCCTCTTGCTTGAGGTTACGCTCATCCAGAAAACGAACAATCTCCGGCCACTTAGGATTGCAAGTGAATGTTAAGAATAAATCTGGATAACCCGCCCATCGACATATTGCCATAGCATCCTGATAATTTTGTATCATATATCGAGCACCACCAGTAAAACTTGATGGTAATATTATTCGTTTCCCTTGAGTACCAGGATTGGTGTCTCCGCGCAACACAGCATCAGTGAGACCCTTGTATATTTCACAACGTAACTGTGTTTGATGAAAACGAATATACTTTAGTCGAGCCGACTCAACCATGGTGTAAGCATCGACAACAAATTGCTGAAACAATCGTCTGGATGATAATATGGTTGGTGGCTCAGAATGACGATCATGCAACCGGTATGCAAAGAACTCTCTAATGCTTATTGTAGTTCTTGATTTATCATGCTTCTTCTTTAGTTCAGTAAATGCTATATCCTCTCTAAATCCATCCTCTCCGTAAGGCAAAAGCAGTGGATATTGCAAAGGTAGATAGGATGCATTCAACTCATTTATGCGTTTCAAATATCCACTCTTCAGTTCGACTACTATATCCCTATCACCAAGAGCTTGATCAAAATCTCCCACTATCAAGGCAGCAACTTCTGAAGTTGTTGGCAGATTGTACCTTCGTCCATCAGTACTCCTTTTACCAATTAGCCGTAGCTTAAATTCCGCCACATTATCCTCTCGAAGTTTATCTCTTGCCATCCTAAATGATTTCACCAAAACATTATTTTCATCAAGCATTCTTCTTAGACCATCCACGATATCTTCATGAAGATTATTGACATCACTTCCGCTTCTAGATAGCAAATTTAAAATAAAAAATAAAAAATCATTCACCAATAAAAACATTAAAAAATAGTTATAATCTATGTTGATATAAATTGAAATACCTTACGGACTTCAAACGGTGAGAAGTTTCATTTTCCGTATCATATATATACAATTGAGCAAATTTGGGCACCGATCCATTTTGTGGCAACAAACTACCCATTAAATGATAGTTTTGTCCATGAAGCTTGAATATCGGTGCACTCGTACCATCATTTATGCTCTTGTCTATCTTCCCACCCATCGAGGTAAATGAAAACATATTGTTATATGAGCGGATGTTTTCTCTGTAATGCCTACTTATTTGCCCGTCACCAAACAAAAGCTCCTTCAAAAACTGTGGAGGATCACGGAGCAGAGGTAGCTGAACAATACCTTTGCTACAACAACCGTTGTATCTCTGCCTTTGTGATTTCGCAACCGATTTGACGCGTTCTTCATACCAAAAAATTGCACCACAAAATTCACATTCATAAGTCGCGTCGCCAAGATCCCAATATCCTGATAATAACAAACTATTAGTCAATATCTTTCATAATAAAACTAAAAAAAAAATAAATCTTTATGACTATCATTACATAGCTTAATAATCAAACTACAGTTAACTTATAAAAAATTAATTACCATCAGAACGCCTTGATAATCTACTATTACGTGGAGCTGAAGTCTTTATCTTTGTCATTGATAAAGATAATCTACTATTACGTGGAGCTGCACTCTTTTTCTTTGTCATTGCTTTTTTACTGCCAGCTTTGACAGTATTATTTGGCTTATCCTCATCCCCGGTCAGGTCTATTATTTCGCAAAATCCATTACCATTTCTATGAAAATTTTTGTTATTATTTATGGATGCAAAATTGCTGCTGCTATTCTGTCCAATAGATTCGTCTTCACATAGGTCAATTATCACAGAAGGATTGGAACTTATCAGAACGTTGTTTGCCCTTTGTATGGCATGCCGATTACTTGACGTTTCACCAACCACTTATCAAAAATCAAAACAAAGACGATATTATAATTTAAACAAAATAAATGAATAGGTAAAAATATTTCAACTTAATTCAAAGTAATCTTTTTATTTGTGTGGTTATTGATAAGTAAGGGTATAATAAGAGACACACTTATATCAGTTGACATCTAATGAGGCTCTTATAAACGGAAACGAAAAAGCATTTGTAAGGTAATTAAATTTTCCATATCATTTAACACATATAAATGCACGAAAAAACATTTGTAAGGTATTTAAATTTTTCATATCATTTAACACATATAAATGCAAGAAACTATATTTATGCGCATTTATAATATAAACAAAATAAAACCTTCTTCAAAATGTTGAAAGTTATCAAATTTGGATTAGTTCGCCTAAGAAAATATAAGCCATTTTATCATGCTAACAAAAGATAATTGAATATATTACTTAACTGTTTTTTAAGTGTTTTTTTTATTTCTGATAAACAAAGTGAAAATAATATGCATCATATAAGTACTACTAAACATAGATCAATATAACTATATAAAACAATTATGTTACGTAATATTGTACCATTGGTGATATTTCTGAAAGGCGTGAATACTGTAGAAGAAACGTTGGTACCACCTGACACGCGTAATGGTGCTCTCATAGACGACAATGAAGAAGTAATTGTAGGTTGCTTCACATTTTCTATAAACCAAAAGATCGAATATCACGACAATAATCATAAATTGATTAAAATATAAAAAATTAAAGTTGTATAGATTTATATGTTATACCAATTATCTCTCCAATTGTAACTACTTTTAAGGTTATATTCAGAACTAAAAATTGGCTTAAATCTCTATTCTCTAAGTTAAATAGTAATTTCTGCATATATATCTTTGAGTACAAATGCAAATCTAATGAATGTGGACAATACATTAAAAAATAAAAAATAAAAACTATCATTCAATGGTCATCTTTTTTTCATGTGATAAGAAAAATAGATCATAATTAAGCCATAGAATCTGTTGCAGCTATATCATTCATTGAGTTTCAAAAAAGCAATCAACTTACTTGATATGTAAAATGCAAAAGGAATTTTTCTTTGAGAAATGAACACTGAATTTTATTCATGAGCATTAGAATTCCAATTGCATCACTGAACGAAAAAAAAAAGATTACAATCCTAGTAATTAAATTAAATACAGATGATGGTAACATTTATAAAATCCTAAAAAGTTCACTACTCCTAGTAATAAAATACAAATTCTGGTAAAACATTTTTATAATCCTCAAAAATTAATTTTCTTATTCATTTTTCACACATAATGCTCAATTCATTATTTTGATTTACTCAAAAGGGTTTACGTAAGTAATATATATATATATATATATATATATATATATATATTATAACAAAGTTTATATTATTTTGAATTGGAAGGTGAACGTAAACTCTATCACACAGTTAAATCGAGAGGAAAAGATCAAATAAATTAAACCGGTTAACTTAAAAATTAACGAAAAAAATATGCCAAGAGTTTTGACTATCATTTATGTAACATGTTGTTGACACAAACAATAATTGAAAGAGAAAAAAGGGAACATTTTTATTGATCATCCAGAACATATACACACATTTAAAACAAAATTTGCTGAATTTAATTGACGAAATATTAATTCAATATGGCATCTAGAACATATACATACAATCATATGTCGACCGAAAATAAAAGAAAATCTTGAGACAAAAAAAATTAATTTGTATCTACGTTAAGTACCTTTTTCCGAATCCGCTTCTCTTGATCGTTTTCTGTTAACTTGATGAGAACAATTCTTCTCCTTCATTTTCTGATGTATAATTTTGCCCGAAACCTCTTTATCTACATATGGACCAAAGAAACACAAAGTAAAAGAAAGACTTGTATAGGAAAAATAAACTAATTTATACCAACCTATGAAACAAAAATTAAAAGGAAGATTTCTGATAATAGAAATACCTTTATCTGAAACCGCTTCTCTTGCTCGTTTTCTATTTACTTGTTGAGAACAATTCTTCTCGTTCATATTCTTAATGGTGTCCCGGAGATTTTAATAATTTCAGGAAATTTGGCAAAAGATTAAAATTGTGTGGCAGACATGAGTGAGTTATATTATATTCATCCTATTGGGATAAGCTTGGTAACAATCACATTGCATAGTGCATGAATTATATTGTGGGTAGTAAATAATTTTGGATTACCTTCCAAATTATTAGCACTAATTACATCAATGATTAATGTGTGTTAAATATTTTTATGGTATGAAATGATTCGGGTGTCCTTGTCGTAAACTCCTAATTAGTGAAAAGACTTATTTGTCAATATACGTATATTATTCAACAATAGTTTATGGTATTGAATATTTTTTTTGGTATCAAATGATTTGAGATGATGATATATAACTTTATATAATTTTATATTTATGGTAAAAAATATTATTAAATATTATTTTTTTACGTTTTCATATGGAATGAATCTTATACTTAAAATTGGATTAATTTATTTATAGAAAAATTGAAATAAAATGATTCAGTTGTCAATAAATTTGTGCAAAGATTGTGGGATATTAATGTTCATTTTTATTGAATTATGAAAGAACAATGTAATCTAAAAATAATTTCATCACTTGCAACCCACTGAACCAGAGCACACGAACAAAGCACATAAATATTCAAAAGCCACAGCAAATATTGAACATCTACGAATATATCCACAAGGTAAAAAATCCATTTACATAATTTTCTATAAGAGTAACCATTTAGCTAATTACTCTACAAATAAAATACTCAACATGCCCATAAACTTCCTTTTCGCTCTCATAAACCATCAATGTGTGTGTGTGCTGCACCTATGTAGAAATACATAAATGAAAAATTCACTCATACATACCAATACTTAAAAGATACATATTCTGCAATTTCAAGAAGAATGATATATCCAAACTAATTCTGACTTTATAGCATTTTCAACAATGTACCTCATGCCAGATAACCATTGCCACCTCAAAATCCACCGTAAATCCTTAAGCAACCCAGTGAAAACAACAATCTTCCCACCAGGAGAAAAAATGCATTAACCATAGGCTCGTCAACCACGATGACCTCCCATTTACGTCCCTCCAAATGAGCTGTCTTTCGTGCCCTTCTCCTTGTGCAAATTATATTCCCCGTGCCATTTTTCCTCATCCACCATTTTATCACTCAATGCCATCACACTTTCGTGCCCATAGCCCTCACGAGACTTATAGCGTGAATTATTCTTATTCTGTACTCGAGTATTTTGGTAAGTTTGGGTGTTTTTTGTTAAGAATTCACCATTTATAGACATAGTTAAACTTTCATGTCCAACTTGTAACCATATATAACTCTCAGCATATCTACAATGACTCACTCAAGTGATTATAAACATAAACATACTGGCAACTCACTCAATTTGAATATGCTACTCACAAAGTTTTAAGGGGAGGACCATCTGATGTCAAACTAAAATACTAAACTATGATTCATAAGAGTTATATGCTGCTGTTCTTCAACATTGTCAATTTCAAGGAGATGCCCGTACTCATGCATAACCGTCCACACGACACCGTTTTAATATAAGAGAATGACTCTGTTTGCTGTTAACTAAATACACAGGCAGGTCATGGAAATTGATATTGTGATCAATATGTTGATCATATTTCTAAGAAAAAGGCAACATCTCCATACGTTGATGCAACCTGTTGTTGCCACAATAGGTAATATATAAACTAACTGCGAGTAAGAACAGGATGTTGCGAATCACATAATAAACTACAAATAAGATCAAGGAATAATATAATTGCATTTCATTATTTTATATAAATGTGAAAATCTCATGTCTCAATGAACATAATAAATAATTCAACCGAATAACAAAGTCTAATGACATCCACTTATTCAATAGTAGGTAGTAATTTGTGGAAGATATCTATATATAATAGCTGACAAAGTCTAACGACATCCACTTATTCAATAGTAGGTAATAATTTGTGGAATATATCTATATATAATAGCTGACACGAATTTAAGCAGAGCCTCTTTTCTCGATCCCTTCACCAACAACAGCAAGCACGCGTTTACCAACACCATTATCACATTCATGATCCTCGCTCTCGTCAAGCACCAACTTCTTACGACTCGAGATAATCAACCTATCTTCAGACATTTCCCGTTTTTTGTTAGAGTTAACAGATTCTCTTTTTTTATCCTTTCCCGCTTTAATGGGCGTGCTAACCTCATCATCCGACTGAAAGACAAGAAAATTTATAGACAATATGGAAGTTAAAAAATCCATGATGAAAAAAAAAATATTAATAATTGATTTATACCTTTGAACCTTCCATCTCCCTATGCAGTTTCGACATATAATCTGATTCTTGCTAAAGAAAAAAAAAAAAAATCAAAATTTTGCAATATATATAAAATACATGAAGTCAGGCACGTGAAAAAGACAATATATACCTGACTAACGCTATGGCACTGGTTGTGGATATCATGAGTTTGAGAACCATATTTTTCAATGAGCAAAGGGTCAGTGTTGACACCGACAACTTTGTAAGCCCCACTGTAGTTGTTGAGCTGATCAGAGCGCACTTGTACTTTGAACAGTATCTTCTTATCAATAAGGTCGTATATATCGTCGGGGAGTTCGTTAGTGGGCATAATGCCTAGCTCACGCTTCTATTTTGGAAAGAAAAACGAATATTAGTGAAACTGTAAAGATAATATATGTACTAATTGAATTTCTGTTACAGAAGAATACACCAAAAATGTAAATTATATAGAATAGATTAAATACATACGTCAATAAATTCAGAACGAACACCGTAGCAACTCTTTCCGATCAAAGCCTCTGCCTCTTTATCCCAACAAATAAGTGAAGCACTTGATGAAAAATCGGAAACTTCAAGCACCAGCTTATACCTAACATGTAAATGACTTTAGTTCTGAAATTACATTATTAAATCTTAAAAGCATGAATTTATAAAACAAAATTGCATTAATTTATAGAAAAAATAGTTATCATTTATACAGAACTCATCTGAACATATACATACATGTAGAATTTATAAAACAAAATTGCATTAATTTAATTAACAAAATATTAATCCAATATGACATAAAAAAGACACGAATATTTAATTTCAGATGAGTTCTAGGAATAAATTTATGAAAAGACAAAAACTAACAATAGAACAATAGTCGATCAAAATAGTGAACTTCATCATCTCTCATAGACTTACTTCAAATCTTCCAGAACAACTTCCACAAAACGTGAATTTCTGCCATCAATTTCTTTGATCTGCGGAGGTTGACGACTGACCACCCGCCCAATCACATCTATTGAAGATTAGATTAAAAAACTTTAGATAGAGTTTTGATCGTAATTACATAATAACATAAAGAGATAAGGATAAGTACTTACCGAATAAATGATTCTCATCGATATGAGTAGCTGAAGTGAGCTGTTCGAAACTTTTGAACTCAAACATAAAATTGGGAAAGGATCTCTCATTAATTTCAGTACACTTGGTCTTGCCATAAAACTTAATTCTATACTCAAAAATTGAAGTCTTATATTTTCCGCTGTTGTTCTCAACAATGAAATCCCTCAAACGGTAGACTTTTCCTTCCTTGAGTTTGGGCTTGAATTGATTCATGATATTTTTCTTCATTGTAGCGTGCAAGCGCATACCCTACAAAAAATAAAATTTGAATTATAATTATGAAACTAAATCACTGAATAATTATCAACTAACTTACGATACCTCAGAATCATGAAACACGCAGTCGAATCCATACACACAATTCCTATCATTGATGAAAGTTTTATTGTAGCACCGAATCAAACGAAGCTTGAGATCCCACTCTGTTTTGTCCATGTTGATATCTTTGATAAGGGCCATTTTTTTTCTTAAATCACACGACACTGTAATAATGAAAAGAAAATAGGCGATGAATAAACTCGTAGGCATGAGCATGTTATATAATAGTCATCCTATAGGGATAAACTCTGTAACAATGGCAGTACACGAAGTATATGGTAAGTTATATTATATTATTCAATACTGATAGTATTACTATATTTTCTTTTGTGATTTCTTAGTTTATTTATACATATCGAGATTTACTTAGTTTATTTATACATATTGAGATTTATATGGATTCAGAAATATATTCTATCGAATCAATGGTAGGTAATATTATATTACTATAACATATTTAACATATCCTACTATAACAGTGCACGGGTTTATGGTAGGTAATATTATACATATTATATCGAATCAATGGCACATAATATTATATTACTATAACATATTTAAACATATCCTATTATAACAGTGCACGGGTTTATGGCAGGTAAATATAACTTACAATTACACAACCAAATGTAGAAATATTGCTAATTATAGTCATTTCATACCATCTTTATTTAGCAATAAATTCCATCAACTCCCTCTTTATATATATATAGATAAAAATTACATTTTGTCTATCTAATTATCCAGAAATTTATACTTTCCTTATAATTTTTGTTTTGTATACTTGTCTACCTAACTTTGCATTTTTTTATACTTTGTCATTTTCAGTCACCGTCGGCCACATAATCCAACACGTGGTTTTTGTGCCTTATTGCCACGTGTGGCCGATATTGACCGAAAATAGGAAAGTGTACAAAAAAGTAAAGTTAGGTAGGCAACGTATAAAAAAAAAAATTTGTAGGCAAAGTGTAAATCTTCGAATAATTAGGTAGGCAACGTGTGATTATTTCTTTACTCTAAGAACAACCTTATGGTGCAAATGCAATTGAATATATTTTCATTTTCTATATTGGGAAATGATGTGAGGAAAATAACAATTAAATGTTATGGGATAGATAAATAGAAAATTAATGAATGGTTTTTCACTTTTCATAATTCTTTTCACTTTCATTTCTATCATCCAATATAAAGTGCTAGTTTGTACTTTGTAAACCTTTTTTTTTTGTTTTTTTTCACTTGTTTATGTGTCTTTGTATGTATGATTGTGTGAAGAAAGAGAGATGGAAGGTGAGTACAATAGCAAACAAATATCAAGGGGTGATTCGCAACAGATATTATTCAATTTTAATTGGACAATTTTTTACTCTTTAACTCAAAATTCAACTTAACTATCATTAATATTATAATTATAATTAAATAATATCAAGCAGTCATTACAAAATATTATTTGAATATTATTATAAAAATATTATTTAAATACAAAATATTAAATAATAACATCATATTTAATCATTATATAAAAATATTATTTGAATACAATCTCAAAATTTCATCCAATTCTCCATTGAATCAATTTTATTCAAAAGAAACTACTTTATCCAATAAATTTAATTGTAACTGAAATATTTTATATCAAATCACTACTTGAATGTCTAATTAGTTGATGTGAAGAAACAAAGAACGGTTGGAAGGCGTTGTGATAGCCACTTCCTAACAATAAAACTTGTGAAACAAATTTAAATAGTTACCAACATCAACATCTAATTCATTACTCATTACATGCACCATTTCTTAAGCAATTTTTTTTTTTCAATTTGATACAAGTTAATGCAATAACAAAATTTAGTTAAAAATAATAATAAATTAACACTTTCCCTCAAATAAATTTACTAATTTCACATCAATATTTGTATGAACACACATAGATAAAATGAATTGTACTATTATATACATCGTTATAAATAAAATATAGATATAAATATAGATATAGATATAAATGAATGACAAAGATAAGGACAAAATATTTTTTTTCTAATTTTAATAATTTCAACGGAAGATTCTAGTGTTCCTATTGATTACATCAACTTACTCTATATATAACCTACTCCATATTTATTGTTAAATATCAATGTGTTTCTCACTTTCTCTACATCTTTTTTCACACAATATCGAAGGAGAATTTCAAGCTTGACAAATACGTCTTTAATGGCGTCTTTTTCTCAGTTAGCTTCAACTTATATGGAAAGTGTACTCCAAAGGGTCATATGGTAAATAAATTA